AATATATACAAAAAAATATTTAATTTGAAAATTTTTTTTTATAAATATTTTTATCATTTACATAAATTATTTACTATTTTGATGTATATTTTATACCATATATAATTTCAGCTGAATTCTAACAATATTAACATTGTTTGTTAAATTTTGCTAAAATAGATTAATTAATGACTAGTAATTGCTATTATATTTTTATTTAAATATAATTAACTGTATCCTCCAAACAAATATTAGTTTAAATTAAATAATTTTTTATGTTTATGAATACTGCTTAATAAGTTTATTTGTAAAAAAAAATTAAATGAATTTACTAATAAAGCTCAGTTGGCAAGATCATTTATAATTCCTTGTAAAATGTATCAAATAATAATTTTTTTTTAAGTAAAGTATAAATAGTTTTCAAGAATTTGTTATACAGCATTTGTTAAATAGCTGTTCAAAATATTTAATATATTTGTTATTTAGATAACGAAGGCTTTATCATTCCAATTATTACAGTTCAAATATTAGAATTCATAATGTTCTTTTATATATTTGCAGATTAAGTTATTTATCTGTTGGTCTGTAAATCACGTCTCTTGCAAACTTTGACAAATAAAGTTGAAAATGATCGGATCTACTACTACAGATATATTTGTTTACATTGTATGCTGTAGAACTATCAGGATTTGAGATCTCAACACAAATGAAATTCGTATTTATCCATTACATAAAACGAAAGAAAAGCAACTTGCAACAATTCTGTCTGAAAAGCAGATAAAAGAAATTGTAGATTTAGTGTTATTACATATTTTGTATTTATTGAAAGATCTATGTAAAAATACAATTAGAAACGTTTTATCTTTATTATATTTTTATGTAAAATAAAATAAAACGGAACTTTATAGTTGAAAAAAACTAAAATCTGAACGCCTCGTTTTAATTTAGGAAGACGTAGAAAGTAAATGAATATAGGTAACATATTACAAATCATATATATATATATTTTTTTTTTTTTTTTTTTTTTTTTATACAAAATCTCTAACATTATGAGAGAAAAATTGTGCAATTTCGGCACAAAAGTTAGGGATTATCTTTTAAAGTCTTTCATATTTTTTGCGATGTACTTAAAGTATGTTATAATATTAATAATAAAACACTTTTCAAAATTTCCCTATACATATCTACGGCGAGGAAAGTAATTTTCTAGCGAAGATAGAACGACCCTTGGGTCCTCGAAAAACTCGAGGGAATGTGCGCAAAGAATGAGCGAACATGATTGATGCCGTTTTTCTCGCGTTTCACGCGTAAAGCATAGCGTACGGTGCCGTAGAAAATAAAATTCGACGCACGAGTGTGAAAAAGATTAACCCGCGCTGAAAAGAGAGGTATTCGGTAATGCAAATGCAATATTATGTATACATGCGTGCTTCATCGTGCTTGTATGCACGCGGATGGACGTACAACGTTTTTATAAATAAGTCTCCATGTGATGTATACACTGTCTTTTTATGCATATTAATAATTCTAACAGAATATCGTACTGTTATAATTTTTTTAATTAAACCGAATTCTCTGTGTGTATAATTTGTTTTGTTTTTATGCTATTGTTATACTTTTTTTATAGCTTTTTTTTTAACTTATAATAAAAAGGTATGAAATCGTTATCAATAATAAAATATGGGTAGAAAATTAATTAATTTTAATATAGTTATAAAGTGCAATAATATTGTCAATCGATAAGTAATTTAGAATTTTAGTTATTATAACTTCTCTATATTTGTTTATATTTATGTTTGTATAGAAGTTTTAAAATATACCCATCTCATTACTATATTAATAATCATACTAAAGTTATTTTATCAAATGATTCTGGGAAATTATATAATTTATTTAATAATATATATCTATATATATATATATATATATATATATTACAACAATTAAGTATAAATGAAATTTAATGTAATATAAATTATAATTTGTTATTCATTTAGGTACTAAGTTATTTGGGTATATCTCAAAGAGTAATTGAAATATTTGAAGTAAATTTTGTTGATTGAAAAACAAAGTCGATTGAATGATTAGTCAGCCAATATTTTATTACTTATTTCATATGTGATATTATATTCATATTATCTGAGATAAGAATAGCTGCGTATAAATGTTAATTTAATTATAAAATGAGGCACAACAGTGAAAATTCTATTCTATAATTGTCAGTATACACATCAATATTTCTCTGAAATTCATAACATTTGGTTGATAGAAGAATTTTCTTATTTCTAATTTTGTTTCTCGGTATGTATTTTTATTGTTTCATCAGTGTTGTCAGCACGCGCGAATGAGTAAGTACGCGGTTACGAGCAAGGACAAAGAGAAATGCAATCGCCGGTGTCGCGGCGGCAAGTGCGTAGTTATCAAAAGATTTGTGTGTCCACGATAAATTAATGCATATAATAATATATGCAAGGTAGAGTTTCTGTTTGAGATTATATTTGAACGATAAGTCGACGCTTTCGCGATATTATAACAATTAATCTCTTTAACCGCGGATATACATGTGGATATGTATTATATTATTAGCTCACATGCATCATTGTCACATGTCATCTATCCTATATCACAAATGTACAGAATCTTTGTTTCGTTTAAATGAAACAAAATCAGTAATTTTTATTATTTCATTATAAATTATTTTTTAAAACTACTGAAAAAAGATTATAAATATTAAAAATGGTAAAAACTTATCAAAAGAAAAAAAAATTAATGTACGTAAGTGATATATTTACATAGATGTATTCACTATAATAGAAATATTAATGTACTTAATTATTATTAATGTAGCTCTTATGTGTTGCAGATCATCTAATTAATTAATATCAGTTTTTGTTTTAACGAATGCTTATTTATGAAATTACAATTATTTTTCTTTAACATTTACTAATTAGAGAATACAATATTAGAATATTAATTAATGAAATATTATTTCATTATGTTAAGTCTCTTAGCTTCCAAAATTACAAGAGTTTTAAATATATTAATGTTTACTATAATATATACTGAAGTATTAAATGTCATATGTAATTGTTTAAAAAATATTAAATATTTCAGAAGCGATTAATTTTTTTTTTTATAATAAAAAAAGTTAAAAAATTGAAGGTATATATTTATTGTACGTACGAAGTATAAAGCGCATAAAAATTTGGACAAATTGCTTTGAAAAAATAAAACAAATTTTACATTTCAAAGTAGGTTCTCAAATCGGAAAATCTAATACGATGTCCATCAACTTTAATACTAAATATTAAATATTTATTTATTTGATATTATAATATATATTCTTCCATCGATTTATAATAAATAATTTGAAATAAATTTATGATAAAACTATTTATAGTAAAATCTATTTCAATGATAAATAAGATTAAAGAATAATTCGTAATAATATTATGTAGTAATGTAAATTAAAATTTTTATAGTAAGAAAAAAAAACACAAATACTGTACATACCTGAATTTATATAGTAAGAATAATTTTTTACTTAACGAAAGAACTAAAAATATCTTAAAAACGTACGTGGCAGATAATTTAGTGAAAGCATAACTTTGTAAATTTAGAAGTATTAAATATTCATGGCATTATACTGCATTGCTAGAAATTAATTTAGAATTTGAATCAATTTTTAAAAGCAGTGAAATAAGTTTTGAATAATTTTTGCAAAAGCCTCTGAATAAGGATTGGTTTATTTATTTTTATGTTTTCAATAATTAAAAACTATTAATTAATGTCTTGAAGCATCAATCATAAGAATGCATTCGTCTAATGATATCTACACTTTGAGAAATTTATGGTAATTGATACACCATCGTTTTTTTTTTTGTTGTTGTCTAATTTAGATTTTCAGAGTACTTTCTTTTAAGTATGCAATTGAATTAATTAAATACAATTTATCATTTAGCGCAATGTAAGATTTATTAATTAATTTTAAAAAACTCATTTGCAATAAAGTATCACATTATTTTATCCTTAATGAAGTCATTAAAGCTTAAGCATATTGCAATAATGTTTTATGATTCAGAAGAATTTCTTCAAGCCGATAGTACATACGTTGACAGAAATCATCAATTATATTTTTCCTTTTGAAATATTCGCAAATATCTCAGAATATCGCTCACAATAGTCAATCATTAGTTTGACGCATGATTCATCACGCTTGTGCCATTAATACGCTGTATAAGATTACTTTAATAAGTAAAGCTAGAATTCCATCCTTTTTCAACTTGATACAAGTGCAATGTAGAGAAAAGTGATGTCCTAATAAAAATAAACATAATTCAATAAAGCAGTAAAGTGAAATTTGAATCGGTTGACCTGTTGGCACGTTCTTTAACCCAATATATTGCCTTTTTACCGAATTTCCCTGTACAATTGTAAGATCAACTTCACGGCTTAGAAAATGAATAACTGTCACATTGAAGCGATCGTCGGTTTCTCAAGGAACGTAATACGAAGATATTGTTAGAGAGCTTCGTAAATTCAACAGTTCTCGGGGTTTTTGATCGAAAAAAAGGAGTAGTGCGGCCATCTCGAGTCTTACATACTGCCGCGCAAATATCAATCAGAGCGAGCTGAAGACAGAGACGGAGTCAGTCAGATAGAGTCGGAATCAGGGCCTTTGAGTGGTTTCTCACACGTACGCAGGAGCATGTAGTGACTCGAAGGCTCGCAGAGAGCAAAATATCACATTGCGCGCGCAGCATCTCCGCGCCAGCCAATTACACGCTGAGGCTCAACGGAGCGAGACAGAGAGAGAGAGAGAGGAAGAGAGAGAGAGAGAGAGAAAGAGAGAGAGGCGACGGCGCTATGCTCGGCTCTCGGCCGGATCTCGCCAAGAGCCATCGAGATCCTTGGCCGTCCTGCACGCGCTCGGGGGGCGTGACCGCGTGGTGGGCGGGGCTTCCTCCACGAAAATCCCGGCGCCGTGGTCGTCGTCGTCTGCTCGTGGTAGTCGGCGCGGATGCCGCGACCGTGCAACGCGCAGTGATATCGCTCGTGGTTGAATCGCGATGACAGGCCCGCGAGGTCCCTGCGTCCGAAACGCGTAGGATCTCATCGACGGATATGATGGAGGTGCAGCAGCAGCACTCGCCGGCGGGGGTGGGACCGCTCGACTTCTCCCGGCGAGGTGCTGCCGAAGCCTCGGCTTTCCGCGTCGTCAAGCCCAAGCAGCAGCAGCAGCAGCATCAGCAGCAGCAACAACAGCAACAGCAACAACAACAGCAACAGCAACAGCAACAGCAGCAGCTACCGCAGGAGACAAATAATAATAACGAGGCCGTGCAGGAGAGTACGAGATTGAGTGCCGCCGAGTCCGAAGGTAAGACGGTATCATACTTATCCTTCGTTCAGCGAGAGTTATTGGGCCCCTAGACGGTAATCATTTTTTCCGCTTACTCCTCGCCGATTCGTCCCAAATTCGTCCCTACAAAAGTGACGAGAGTCTGCTCGAGGTCATTTCGATTAGTCGTCGCGACTTTGTAAGGACAGACATTGGAGACCGGATTTCGCCTTTGCGCTTCTACGTGCCGACGGTGATTAAATATTACAGACGGTCATTCTTGAAAATCTTTACAAGCAAAATTAAAGTACAAACTGTCTGTTCGTAATGTTGTCGTAATTTTTAAAAATGATTTATTAAATTAGCAAATATTTTTAGTTACGTTTCTTATTGTCTCTCATTAAATTATAATTTTTCATTATATTAGCCGCGCACAACAACTAGACAGACGAATACATGACAACAATAAATTAATAAAATTATTCTTAATTATAGGAAAGATTTTTTCATATTATATAAGTCGGTTTTTTGCATAATTAACCATAATTAAATATAATAAAGTATTAACTTAATGCAAATCGACTAATGGATAATAATATGATTTATTAATGATCGTTTAATGGATAATAATATGAATAATATGAATAATATGAGCCCTGTTACTTACTGTATTTGCTTATTTTATAACGATATGGACTTAAAAATGTAGAATATATGAACTTGTCGACTCACTTCGAATATAATATTTAAGGCACTCTTACCCCCTAGCCTAGACTTTATAATAAAGTTTTTAAATTAATATTAATACACGATGAGAGACGTTCGATGTCAAATGCGAATGTGTCATTCGGAAGGGGGAGGGGGGTTGAATGAGGTGCGCGGCAATATTAATCGAACGTGTTATATTCGCGAAAGAAAGATTTCCCTTATGCCTCATCCTTACGCAAAACCATCAAATACCAATGACAATAAACGCCAGCGTAACTCATGTCGAAGCTACGGTATTAGTCGTCTACCCGGGGTGTAATCCACGGTTGTTCAAGTTCCTCTGTTATACGCTGCACCGGGAAAACGCCATCGCCCAATTGAATTTGCACCACCTCGGCGAATTTCGACGCGATCGCACGTCATTCGGCCTTCCCTGCCTATTCTCGCAACCCTCTCATTGAACTGTCTGTCATACCCGGTTATTAGCCCCCGGTGCATCCACTGTGTCACAGTGCACTCGAGCTTTGTTTATATACAAACGCACGAGGGTAGCGGCCCAGGTGGCTCTGTAATTAATTCTTTTGGACCGAGTTTTATCGATAACTTACGAATGAGAGCAATCGATATCCGTATAATTATTATGCTTGATCCGTATATATTAGCCTAATGAGCTGAAAATTTTCTGAAAAATGGAATGAGAATTTCTGAAATAAGGCATATTATTGTTTAAAGATTAATGCACATGATAATTTTAAACGAATATACTCGTTCGACGCTCAGGGTTCAAGTAATATATCTAAAATTACAAATTTTCCGTTATCTCTTACGCATACGGTGCTTGAATAATTTAGGAACAGCGCCCTATTTGCTTAATGTAACGAGACTCTCGGCACTTAAAAGTCCCTATTTAAATAAACACGAGCTCTATTATTATTAACAAAAGTCATATATGGGTCGGGAAGGGTACGGAATGTTTTAACTATTTATCCTTGATTTTAATTCTTACATTCTTACGAGCAGGTCTATTAAAAGAGGAGAGAAAGGTTGAAAAGCAAAAAAGCGAAAGGGAATAATGGGTGGAGAAATGCAATCAAGACGACTTCTGCTCGCCGATACTTGAAATTCCTACTTGCATGTAAGAGAAAATCGCTCAACGTTGGAATTTTTTCATTTCTTTCGTAGAAAGTCACGCCTTTTTTTTGCTTTTCATCTTTTTTTCTGTATACGAGTCGCGTGCACATACGAGTCCTGGACACTTGTGTACGACTAGTCGGAGACGCTCGATTGTCGTGTATGGCAATGGCAGGTCGCGTGCTTACGAGTTGCTCAACAGGTGACATAGAACAGGATGGCATTAGACGGCTGTCTATACTAATGCCCGGCTAATCGGGCTAATAGCTTCATGCAATAATATCACGTTCTCGCTCGCGCCCGACACCACATTCGCGTATAATTTCAAAACTGATTGTCGCTCGACGAAAATACCCTATAAACGTTATATCGCACCTAAGCACGATGTTTATTAATTTGGCCGTTGATTTTCGAAAAGTACATGACTGCGCGCCGCTGAATGAAAGAGAATAGAGACTCGTTGAGTAGTGGGGCAATTCGCTTTAATTTATTCGAATACGGATAATAGTTAAGTATTGGGTATTTAAACCATAATTCTATTGCTATATAATTGCGTAAAATGGAAACAAGAATTTTCAAAATTGGGCGAATTCAGCAAGTGAAATGGTCGTTAAAATAATGTGATTCATTTTACTGCCGTATGCTTCAATCTCTTATAACTACATTATCCGTTAACTAGCCAAATGAGTTTGCTTCCTGTAAATTTTCAAGCAATCGGATATTAAACATCTATTGGGAATGTATGTGCGATTTTTTTGGGCATATCGACGTTCATTTAGCTGAAAGGAACTTTCGAAAATTGCGTAATTCAACGGCTAAGATCTGCCATTATAAAGTTTATCGACTGCGCCTGAATTCGGAGAAGATAATTTAACAAATTAATTCCTACGTTATTTCTGGATTTGTTTGTATGAAAAGCAGATGGAAAAGTCTTTTTTCTGCTAGGGAGCATAATTATTTTCTATATTCTCTAAACATTATTAACGACAGACCATAACACTTTTATCTAATAATGGCTTACAGCTAATGTTACGTGAAGAATGATAAATGTTACTCGCTACATATTTTCATTTAATTAAACAGCGCTGCTACAATTACATTAAAAAATTATCATATTATCGCATTAATTATAAACTAATTGTTTAAAGTAGAATTTTAGAAGGTATAGGGAAAATGTATGATACAAATAATTGAATAATAATTGAACTTTTTAGTGAATTGAAAAGGGCGGGGAGGGGGAGGGGGAAGAGGAAAACAAAGATTCATGCATATGAAATAATATTAAATCTTAGATTAACATTTATTTTCAGTGTTCATTATTCAAATTTTATTCAAATTTGTCATACCTCCCCCAAGCATTAGTTCATCATAGGCATTAATACATTCAAACATTTATAGTATTTACGTAAAGGAAAAAAAGGCATCTTTGGAAAATAAAGAGAACATATATCGTTATTGATCATCTGCAGTCGTATATTTAAGCTAAACTAATGGTCTGCACTTCAAAATGAAAATCTTATTTTAAATCGACAGTTCAAACTACCTTAAAAAAAAAAAAAAAATATCAAGAGAAATAACTGTAATTACAATTGCCGATGCGAATAAGATATGGGGTACTTTCTCACCTTGATATATAAAATCAGGATTACACGAGGTATTTATAGATTTATAATATACACGCATGAGTTTACTGACAAAATATAGGGTCGAAGGATAAGCATTTCGCGAGAGGTTTATCGCTATTGCCGTATAGAGGTGTAGAAAATTAACGACGCCCGTTATCTGTTGTTAGTACGACGTATGAAGCAAACATGATTTATTTCTGGTAATCTTACGTGAGCATTGAGATAACTTTGCGGCATGTCTCTTTAATCTTTCACCCGCGCAGATTATCCATACAAGCAGTACGATTCTATTGCTCGGATTAAGGATTTTTCATCTTGCTGTGTTTACAAATACCAGGCTAAATGCTAGTGCAAGTTTTCTAATGGCGAGCGTTAAAATCGACAGATTACGAGAACGAAATTTTCATGTTTACTCAGGCAGACACTAATCGATGCGATCGTGGACTCGACGATTTATCAAGGATTGCGCGTACGGATACCTTCAATGTTTAGGTTTATTTAACGCAACCTTCCATCCACCTATCTAAATATCTTTCAATAAACAAAATATTATCCATTACTTGTGTTTAGCTAGCAAGTTAGGTTTTTTACATTAAGAAATTATAAACTGTAGAAAAATTCAACTTCACTACTGTTGACGCATTATTTTGCATGAAAATTTTAGCTTAATACTTAATGATTATCTACTATTAACAAAATTATATTTTGTATTTTTAGAATAAATCGCAAATTAGTATCATTATCCGACGAGAATATTATTATATTATTACGACTCGGATGCATTAGAAATGATTTTTAATATTCCGAACGAAACAGTCGTATATAATATATATATATATATATATATATATATATATATATATATATATATATATATATATGTATTTTAATTTAAATTTTAAGAAATTGTAGATTAGTTTTTATATATTTAATAGAAAAAAATTTCGGAGAAGGAGACTATAAGCCAATTAAAGATATTTACAGAATCAGTTAAGACTCGAGAGGAGAAAGGTTGATGAATAGAGGAGAGCCTCCCCACTTTCTAATGAAGATGCTCCTCGTCGAGGGATAGATCTTTTCTACGGAAAAGGAATACGTAATTCGTCAAGACATTGAAATAGAGTATTACATGTCCAGATTGAGCCTTCACTTGTTCCTAAATTTCTAGAAAAAAGAGCGATATGATCAGACGAATCATAAAAACGAACGAATGAATTTTATTCCCTTATTTAAAATAATAAGAATTAATTTAATTCTCAGGATAATTATTGTTTAAAGTCGAATAACCTCAGCCTCATTCAATAAGAAAAATTGTTTTCGAGAATATATTTATTTGAATGTTCCAATTTCATCCGACGCCAATAAATTACTTCAATTTAATAAATTAAAAAGAATGACTACCAGTGTCACTTGTGTTAGGTATTGTGAACCTATTTTGTTTTCACTACTTGTATAAAATTATTTTGTATCGTCGTAATAATTTATTTTCAGGTTGCGACGTGCGGTTGATGTTCCCACGACTGTGGGCTCCATTCACCAACGCAAATGAAGTCACGAACTTGCCACCATTTCCAAAATCTGATTCAGGTGAGGGTTTAACCGCTCCATCCATAACTTAGAAACTTTTCTCATCGATTCCTTATTGCCCCTAGCAATAAGACAAGCTTGCAACATAAAACGCGCAATAAAAGAGAATTTATTAGTTTCACTTCTTTTATAGTATCGCAATTATTTTAAATTTTGTATATTACGCTTTCATTGGTTTTCATACAAATATAATGTTTTAATAATAATTAATGTACATTGTTTGAGCGAGACTTACTTTAAAAGGTTTTTGTTGCAATTGAGATTGCGGGTTATTAGGTTAAAAAATGAAAGCTTAAATAATCACTTTTATTATGTTGGTAATACATATTAATAAGATTCAATTCGTTAACATTTAAAGTGTATTTCGTTACAAAATGCCTATCCATTTTTAATAATTATAATTGTCATCAATCTACGTAAAACCATGTTGGCTACGAAATGCACAATATCTTTGTACCTTTATTATAAATAATTACAAAACGTCTTTAAAAAATAAAAATATCTTTTCGCATTTGAATTTTATCAATTGAAAGTGACTAGCTTAAAAGCCAAACAAACACATTATTGATTACGAATTGTATAAATACTTCACATCGATAATAATCATCGAACTTCAATAAATATCATGCGTCAACTCATTCAAATAGTGTAAAGCGCGCGTTGATATTACGCCATTATGCCCTATGAAATGTCGATACACGCATAAGAACAAGATCCAATTTTCCCCCTTCTTTTGAAAGTAATTGATCGAGCCGAAGAGTAGCGATTGCCGAAACGTACGATATTACTCATTTTACTCGCACTTATCCCCTTCGACATTGCACAGGGAAAGGGAAAGGGACGTTCTAATTGCCAGATGAGCGGTGCGCGTGGGAGGCCAGCGTACACATCCGACCTTCTGGCCTATCGTCGGTCCTCTTCTTTTCCGCGGCTCCTCCGGATGGCTGCGGTGGCGGTGACTTTTTTTTTTTTAACTTATCAATTGTTCTTGAAAGAGAAAGAGCGCCCGTTCGTTACGCTCGACCCGATGATTGGGATAAATGGCAGCACGCGTCACGATGTTGTACCACTCTTCGTACGCCCATTCGGCCGAGCTCCACCTTGTGTGTGTATGCCCTTTTTGCCC